TGTTAGCCCAGGGCCAGTCTTCCTCAGCAAAAAGAGGAGGATTGGCAGATGTTAGCTCAGGGCTGATCTTCCTCACACACACACACACAAAAAGTCATTTTATAATCATAAAGGGGCCAATTCTTAAGAAGAGACAACAACTCTAAATGCTTATGCACTAGGAAAAAGTAAAAGACAAAATCAAAATAAATTATCAGCTTTGTTATCACTTTTGGTCTATCAAATTAAAAATAAATTTTTAACAATAGAGGAAAACGCTTCGTTGGGAGAAAATTCTCCATGTATACTTTGACATTTCTGCGTGATCCAGGCTTTCGAAGCAAAGGACACTGGCAAGCTGATTGAAAAGCAAAGGCCTTAGAAGGCAGAGCTAGTGTCTCCCCATCGATAGAGACTCGGGAGAGATGTGGACATATAAAGCTCTCTTCTTCCCATCCTGGAGACATTTGCTTACATTCCAGGGTAATATACCTAGTGACACCTTCCCCCCTAACCCTGGAAGAGATTTGCTTCATGAGTAATCTCTCTCTCCAGAGGAAAGGATGGGCAGATGTGACAGCACCTCCTATATAGCCTGAGTCTCGTAATTTTAGGGCTCCTCTCCTGCTGTGCAACCCACAGTGTGCAACAGGGTAACACTTGGCTCTTACTGCATCACCCCGTTAGGACTGGGGCTCAGAAAACTAGTGCCAAGGTATTGCTCTGGCTGCTGCATCGTGCTGTGAGTAATAAACCATCTCTTTCTCTAATCTAGAAAGCCTCATGTCTCCTGTCAGAATACAGATACACCTTTGCAAGTAGGGTAACTCTCACTCTTCACAGTTTCTGATTTAACACTTATGAGAAAAAAAATCACCACAGTCCCACCATCAGAGATATTCATGATTCATCTTTTGGTGTATATCCTTCCAAATTTTCTAATTTTTTGTAATAAGCATCTAACACTTTTTGCTTTTTTTTTTTTTATAATTTTATTTATTTTTTCCCCCAAAGCCCCAGTAGATAGTTGTATGTCATAGCTGCACATCCTTCTAGTTGCTGTATGTGGGACGACGCCTCAGCATGGCCAGAGAAGCAGTGCGTTGGTGCACGCCCGGGGTCCGAACCCGGGCCACCAGCAGCAGAGCACGCGCACTTAACCGCTAAGCCACGGGGCCGGCCCTACTTTCGCTTTTTAAAACTGCAAAAAGTTTAACTTTGTTTTTTAAGAGGGATACATCTAAGAATCTATGAAATCTTCCCAGGCAACTAAGGTACAAAATAAACCTGAAAAAGAAAGACAAGAGTCATCAGAGAAAAAATAAAAAGAAACAAGGACGAATAGTTAAAAAGAAAAGGAGACAAGCTACAAAGGATACATTATAAGTCAGACAAAGATGGAAAAGAAAAACCGCCAAGGTGAGGTCACCAAGAGCCAAGATCCAGACGGGAATTACTGAATGAAATGTTTTATATACCAAGGTGAGCACATGGAAACGTTTTTTGATTTCATTAGGTATAACCTAATAGTGCATAAAGTGTAACTGCAAGTAATCACCAAGAACCCTCAGAGCAATGCAAGAGGACTCTGCTGGAAGAGAATAAATTAAAACATACCCTTATTATCCTGGCAGCCTCCAAGAGGACTCGACAACGCTCCATGCCAGATTTTTGACTCCATATTTTAAAGGCAGCCTTTGCCTCTTGAACAGCCAAATTTACTTCCTTTTCTCCAGAACAGGTGAAAGTAGCTATCACTCGGCCTGTAAGGATGGGGAAAGTCAGTTTTCTCAAACTGTTGCCACACACTAAAGTATTTCGTATCCAAATTTCCTTTTAGTAATCCCCTTCTTGTTTCTAAGTATGGTTTGATTTAGTAACCACCCCTATACCAGCAGTTCTTAACTCTATTTTGGGGTCATTGACCCCTTTAAGAATCTAATAAAAGTTGCACACTTCTCTCCAGAAAAATGTAGTTAACCATATCACAGAATTACAGAGAGATCATGTTCCTTGCCCTAAGCACACCATGAACTTCGAGTTAAGAATCCGTGACCTCATCTATTTTATTTACAGCTGGGTTTACTAACATTAACTTCCTATCAATTATTTTCCAACTTTCCTTAACAATGTTTGAGAACGTCAGGAGTCTTGCAAAATCAAAGTTGAAAGTACTCAGTCTCCTGGGTTATGAACTCTGACTTTTAATCCCTGGTCAATGTTCTATATAGGCTATATCAGACTACTAGTACTCGATGAATATTGGCTAATAAACAGCAATATCAGGAAAACATATCCTAAAAGCAAGAAAAATTTTTTCTCAAATATAAAAAAAAATCCAGTCTCTCCTTTTCTTACTCCAACCTTATTCCCTATCCCTATTCTGTGGCAAAATATGAAATGATCAGGTCTTCTAGACCTGAGAGTTGTGACTGACTCTACCAACAAAAACTCCTTAAGTATGTAAAGTCAGCAGTCCCTTTCCCCCTCCCACAACAACTCCTGGGGCTCTGCATTTTCCAGAGAGATTTCACAAACCTGCAACTTCTGTTACAAACTTGAAGAGCCAGTTGGTAAAGGCAGTGGCTAAGGATCACACACATTGTAGGTAATTAAAATAAACAGCATTTTTTCTTTCTCTTGTATCAGTATGCGGCTGGGAGACAAAGAGACTGTCTCCTCCTCAAGGAGAGCGGGGAGATCTCTGAGGCCCTGCCTGCTCTGACAAGTGACTGCTCTCTGGTTTAGTATGATGGGTCAATCCTAAATTCTCCAGTTCTGGTTTGCACAAAACATTTACATTTTTCTCCCCACAAATATTCCATAAAACTCTGCAAAACAAACACAAAACCAAATCAAAACAAAAACCACTTTCTCCTTAGCTTTGTGATCTTCAGAGTTCCCAGAGCAGATCCAGGGCCTAGGGTGCTTGGCACACACTAAGCACTGGATAAAAGTAGGGTTTCTTTTCCCTTTCCCAATTCTGATTCATGTACAGAAATATTTTAACACTAGGGGACGGCAACAAAGCCTCATTCCTGCTCATTAGAATCTTCTGTGTGCGCTCCTCCGTTCTCAGCACAATGTTTATTTTCACCCGCGTCCTTCTGGAAATCCTCTTCCACGCACACGGTTGAAGACATTACTGCAGTCCTAGCTTTAAAAAGTAATAATTAACAAAGGCACAACTTCATGCACCAGAGCTTTGCGGACTCGCTGTTAAGGCCGTTGTAAAATTACCCATAACGCCACCACGCAACTCACTAGCTTTTCCAGTTTTCTACGACTTCCTTCTGGTCCCTGTCCACACGCATCGGTGCTTGCACAGAATCGTCAGCTGCCTACGCAGACAACTTGACACTCTACACGGCCACTTACCTGCGTTCAAGAAACGTCTGCTGAACGCACCACACGAAGGTTCAGGGCGGAGAATACGCGCACCACTGCGGCGGGGGAGCATCCAGCCGCGCCCGCCCCCGCCCCTACCCCGGCGCCCCGCCGCGTCCCCCGCCCCGCCGCCCCGGCCCCGCCGCCTGGTCTCCGTCCCGTTACCGGTTGCCGGCTCGAACGCCTTCTCGGTGCCGGAGGAGTCCACCGGATCCACGCGGGCCCCGCCGCGGTAATTGAGCGGCTGCGACACGACGAACGTGCCAGTTCTCATGGCGGCGACAGGAGCAGACCGAAGAGCGTGGAGAAGCGGGGAGAGCACAGCCCCACCAGCGCGGAGAAACATGAAGAGCCAAACGCGAGCCGAGATGCAGGGGCCGCGGGGAGGGGAGGGGCCGGCGG